TGTACTGCACGACAACCACATGAATGGTTAAAGCAGGATAATGATGGTGTTTTTCACTTTTTGTTCATGTTCCAATCACAACCAGGTGATACGCTCTATGGTAAAAATATGTTTCTCTATTCTTTATTATTCATCTCCAATAAAGCAGAACCGAGGTATGGATCTGACTGAGGTTTTAAAGAATAGCCAAACCTCTTGGTACGATGTTTTAAAACTATGAACTTGTAGTTAAATATTACCCTAAATCACTACAAAGAAGCTTTCCAACCTTGTTGAGTCAAAAATCTAAATACTTCTGAATCAGTTTTTCTTACTTACGCTATGAATTTGTGTACCCTTTTTAAAAATATTTTTTGAATCACGTCGGCATTAAGATGAAATGGAGCTGAAGCTAGGAACTGGAGAGCCAAATAGCAGGCCGGGGAATTTAAAGACCTAATGAGAGGTGGACTAACACATTCTTAATTTTGGGTCTTTCCATAAAATTTCTTGAGCAGATTGGACTAAAGTGGTAAAAGTGACAACAAATCAATATTTAAATACAATTTCTCTATTTGGCTCTTGTAAAGTGGCTGTGATGGAAGCATGATAATAAACTGAAGAAGAGGAAGACGAAAAAGCAACATTCGGCTGCTCTCTTACTCACAAAGGGTCGTTACAGAGAGTAGCTCTGCGTATTTGATTTGGCAGTTTTTACACCAAATGCCCTTGCTGACTCAACCCCCAGGGATCTTTCACTTATTGGGCGAACATGTAAACAACTAATGCACTTTGGTGTCTATTTTCTCACCCTACATTCTAAACAGTTTATCTGATTAGGATTGCGGGAAGGTTGGAGCCTATCATAGCTAACACAGTGAAAAGTGTGGCATCTTATGAGAGACGTAAGAACAAAACAGTATTGGGACATATTCTGGTTATGCTCTACTCATCATTTTCAGTGTATATTAATGCTTAAGCAGTTAACAAGTGTGCAGTGGAGGCATTACTATCTTCAACAAATTGCTGGCTCAAGCACTGATAGTTTTGAGTGGATTTAAACAGTGGCTACAGTGTAAATTGCTGAGGGCTGCAGGTCATTTAACTACACTGAAGCTCAGTGATAAATATTATAAAGGTTGGCATTTAATTTATTTTTTGGTTTTGCTAAGACAACTAAGTGTAATTTGTTGTTCTTTAAGCCTCATAAACGAAATAACACTGACCATTCAGGCATTTGGGAGACCAGGGTATCATTAAAACAAGTATAAATATTACATTTATCAGCGTCTTAGTTTTAAGTAAAACGTTTAATGTTTCAAACTATGGCAGGAACTCCAGAATCTGTTCCAAAGCAGGTACAAATGTACCATATGTGTTTATGTAACATTATCTGGGCCTAAATGTGACATTTTGCAGCCAAATGCCGAGTCTCACCAAGACATCTATTATTGATTCAAAAGTCCAAACGATAAGGACTGAAGAAATTTTAACGACCCACAGTTGAAATCATATTAAGTTGCACAGGTTGCCCAGTTTTTCCGTCCTGTGAGCTGTCAAGTTATTAAATGACAGCTGGCTGGCCAGCAGAGCGAGACAGCCAATCAGAGGAGGAGCTAATGTTAGCCAGCCAGACATGCTAAGGATGTTGCAGCTTATAGACAATGAAAGGTGGCGAACTAAAAGAGCAGTTATGCTTGTGTCATCTTTTTATAGTTGCTATTTTTAAATGGGTGAACATTTCGTGTCTAGTAGCTGTAACCCGCTTTAGAGGAACTTGGTGCAGGTCAAATGTGTGACAGGGCCTGGCTAACCTAGCCGCTGAGAGCTAATCCAGCTAGCTTTGCAGCTAGCTGTCAGCTGACCTGCCGTCCTTTCAGGGCAGCCTTCGCTTTTTCATATGAAGGCTATATTGTGAAAATGTGCACTGCAGCCCCGCTCGGTATGGGTTCCCTAATAGTGCCCCCCTCTCCTTCCAAACAGCGCTGACAGAGGCAGGTCCCCCACTCCTCCTCCCTGCCACAACCGGGCCCTCCCCTCTTACCTCGGAATTTCAGTTCGTGCTGAGGCTCCAAGAGCAGAACCTGTTCCGGCCTGGCCATGTCCCAACAGCTGGAGCGGGATTATCGCACTGCAACCAGTTCCCGTGTTAGGATGTTGTCGAGTGTTGCAGCGTCAATAGAGTTTATTTATCAATGAATCAGCGGTGGATATCCCGTCCCCCCGGTCAACTACTGCTACTCGAGCTACTAACGCCTGTTGTGATGCAGCAGGAAGGGAGTGAGAGACAGCCTGCTGACGTCACTGCCTCTGCATAGCCGCCCGGCGGTGAAGAGGGAGGAGGTGGCGGGTGGGTGATGCCGGGGTGCACCCAGGGCTGGTGGGGACACCACCTGCGTTTTTCACGAAACCTGAATCCAGCGAAAGGACGTGGCTTAAGCATGCAGGTTTTAATTTCAGCCTAAAGAGTTACGCTTCTAAGTTTACCTGCTGTCACCCGCTGTGGTGGAGTGAGTGCTAACATCTAGAACGAGTACATTATCAACAAATAAAAACAAATCAACCGTACAAGTCGTCGTTATGCACCGTACTAAAATAAAAGTACTTAACTATTGTCAGCAAAATATGACAAAGTTAGTAAAAAGTACACATAGTTCTTGTGCGAGTGATATTATTAGTCTCCGGTATTGCTTTAAAGAAGCAGGCGACAAATCTGCAGTAACTGTGTGATGCTATCGCGTCAGTATGGACCAAAATCTGAATGAATGTCTTCTATCAGTTTGTTAGATTTTTCTTAAAGAGAGCAGGTGAGATATTGAAATATAGTATATATAGTTTTTCATATCTTGATGCATGCTCAATCATCCAGGGAAAATGAGATTGTTTTTCATAGATTATTTCTTGCAACAATTGTTGGAAATCAAAATCAACTTGAATTGTGTAGTCCAGAAAATTAAAAAAAGAAAATGGGAAAAAAAAATCATGGTGGCACAATAATGAACTGTGATCTCATGTCCCAACATGTTGAATGTTTTGAATACCGGTGTAAATTAATGACTACTGAACACTGGTCACATCTAATTAAACCAGGGGATCTGCTTGCATCTCTGAATGTAATGAAAGATGTGCCTTAAATTATTACAGATGTATAAATATGTAGACACAGTGCAGAATTTCTACTCATTATATTGACTTGATCAATCCCAAAAATGTGCTATTAAAATTCAACCACTGAATAAGTTGAATGTTTTGTATATATTTCTGTTTAATAAGTATTCAGAGGTTGTTAAATGTGTGTGCCTTCTCAGCCATCTGCCTGTCAACCACATATCTCAAGTGTCATTCTTATATATATATATATATATATATATATATATATATAGCCCTGCAGCTGGCTGCCAACTGAAAAGCATAAACAGTCACTAACACCGTCACTGTATCCTGAGGAACATCGAAATGCACACATCTGCACACAGAAGAAAGAACACTTCCTACAGGCTGCAGTCATACACTTATTTTTGGAAATCTTTTATTAGTAAACAAATGACAATTCCCTTTTCACGCATTTCGAATTACACTGCAAACAAGTGTTTTCAGGGATATGTTACAATCAGTATGAAATATAGCAAAAAGCTAAATATGGTAACTACACTGCTGATGATTTTACTACAAATGGTGTACAGGTATATTTTCTTCACACATCCGGCTTCGAATAGAGTTATTAATTTGTGTGCAATTTGATGGTACATATGTACACTGTAAAAGATACATAACATAGATTAAGCATATTCCCAGGGCCAGCCCAAGACTATCGATATTTTTCCAATGCAAAACTACAGGCACACAACTTCTATTCATGCCTCGTGTTTCCAAATGGGGGGAAATAATGTGTGGCATAATTAATAATCAAACCTTAAACATTCTAAGCAGTCATGTGATTAGCACTTAACTTAAATCAGAATTTTAAAAACAGAAGAGGTTAAGTATGCGTGTTGTGGTAACATGGCTTTGACATTATTTGGCAATAAGAATCAAACACACAGTCAAAACCTAAAGCAACATCAGGGGATATTAAGAAGTCTGAGGCTTTACAGAATTATTTCATCGAGTGACTTCACAGAGATAACACACTACAGGCAGAATGTTAGTAATATGAGCCAATACAAAAAAGTCAAAGTGCAGCTTTTAATGTAACAGCGTGATTTCCCTTTTGAATAAAAATCGGTAACACTGTGGTAAGTATTGGCTCGAGTTAATGTAGGTTTAATGTAGTGCTGGGTGAATTATCACAGATAGCAGAGCCAATTAAACGTTTACATTTTCTCCTCTGGCTTTCAAGGTTTGACCCAGTCACACTGCCCCTCCGGTCGACTACAGATGGGTGACAAATTAAGTGAAAAATCTTAAAATCAATTATTCATTAACCCTAACACTAGTCTTCATCAATAAAAGGTGTCCAATGCCTCCATTGGAGTTAAAGAGATCATGGAAAGTGGTGGGAACTTGCTTTGAAGCTGTCTTGGTGGTATGTGGTATGCCTTACTATGACTGTTTTTCTTTTAATTTGTCACCAGTCTGTATTTTTGAGCAAAACTGCAATTAAATCAACATAAAAGAAAAAGGAACAAAGACTGCATTTTTACACGAGGATCACTCTGGACTGATTTCCCTTGTTTTTAGGTCACATTTAGAGTGTGTCATAATTAATTCTATTGCACTCAGCTCCCAACTCCTGAACATTATGCAGCACCACTCACTACACAACTCATCAGTAACAGAAACATTTCAGATGATGCAAGGCAAATAGTTGTTTGTGTGGACAGAAAAACAAATTAAGCTCACATCTGTACCTTTTTCTTTTCAAATTTTGAAAAGAGGTTTGGGGAATAAAATGACTCGAGAGATTCAGATAAGGATAAAATTAGTCAGTATAGGCTCAAGACTTAGATTTCAGGCCAACCTTTTTATAGACTGAGCGAGATTCTGGCTATTTTTGGCCACTGAACCCCCCCCCCAAAAAAATAAAAAATTACTACCCACAAGTTAAAATTTCAGCTTATTATCTCAAAACTTCAGACCTCTGAGAAAATAACTTGAAACTGAGAAAATAACTTGAAATTATGAGTCAAACTTTTGGGACAACAACCCGAAAAATTCACTTATGGGGGAAAAAAAAGTTTCAGTGGGATAACAAGTTTCATTAAAGACAATGAATCAAAAACTCTTCCTGCAGTTTCTTTAGTGGCTGCTTGAGGCCAAAAAGGAGTCAATGTCTACCTTCATCTTTGGCACAAGCATATCAACAGCCTCAAAAGTTCAACAAATATGTGTGGTCTATATACCTAACTTTCTCTTTCATAACAACTGGAAGGGTGAGTGTTTTTCTCTTATAATCATTCTGATTTGGTTAAAGTTAGGGGTTTGAAGTGTTCCAGATGTGCCGACACAAGCAAAAGTTTCACCTCTGCTAACAGGAGTCAATAAATTGGAGCTCTCCACTATGTTTGCGGTATTGGCGTCTTTTAGAATAACTTTTATTGGAATTATCAAACAGATAATAAGGCCCCTGCTGTGCTTAGTCTGGCTAAACCTTTTGTGAGTCAGTTTTAGTGATTAAAATTCAAGTATTTTATCAATGGAGCCAGTCAACCAAGTTAGCATTAACTTAGCACTCCACGATCTGCCAGAAAAAGTTGAGCATTTAAAATGGAGAAATCCAGAAATGAATGGATGATGTCATCTTTCATATACAGTCTATAACCCACATAAAGATTGCTGCAGGAATTATGGCATCGAAACCGATCACAATATGACCCCACAACCAACAGGATCCGAAGGACATACGTGGTATACAGTACCAGATCTCAGTTCAGCCGTGCATCGAGAGCCTGGGGTTTAGAAGAATAAGGCAGAAAAGCTGAAAGAAAAGGAAAATCAGAAAGGAGATTCTGGAACAAAGCACACAGTGTGTAATTCAGGACAAAATACAGGCCAAGGTTCATTAAGGGGTCAGCATGTCGACACAGCGCCATGTCTAATTCTCTACCCATAACCTTCTCCTAACGGGAGATTTAAGCTCTAAAATATGAGTTTCCTCTCGACGAGGTTTAGTTTCCAGCTCTTGCTGTTTTCATCAGAGGCCAAGTAGTAAAACAACATTGGATGTGTGAGCTGGGGCTGATTATGTGGTGAGAAAAAAAAAAAGAAACCAAAAAAGGAAAGATGAAAAATGTTTATGGGACAATTAAAGAATTTGGCAAGTCCTCACAAAAATCAACCTCCCTTGTTAAAGTGTTGTAAAGTAGCAGCAAAAGAGTAAAGACAGGCGTGTTTGCCAGTGAAACGTTACAATGGGATAAGAAAAAAAAGGGGGACTGGCAGGATGCTCTGTACCTTGGGCATTATGAAGCACTTCATACACAGGATGCTGTAAAGACTTCTTCAGTGATTATAAAGGGAAATGGGGAACAGATGTGAGCAGCTGGAACTCTTATCATATAATAATCAAGAGTGAGTATTTTGTCCTGATTACAGCACCATCACAGGGAGGGTCTGATAATGAGGTTCCTCTAATCATAGACGGTGAAATTTGTTGTCATTCTTGGGAACAAGTGGCAGTGAAAACATCTTTCTAAGCCACAGAGAGAAAAAGATCAAAGCTGACAATAAAAGGAAAAGCTAAATTTCAGGGAAAAATGCTTATTTGTTTTCCGGCAGAGTGCTAGACAAACAACAGGAGTCTGTCCATCACGTATAAACCACTGGCAGCCAGCCGGTTAAAAACACCAAGCCTGACTCTCTCCTGGCTCCAGCCACATATTTACCATTTAGACATGACAGCAATATCAATTTTCCAAAAAGCTGAACTATTTCTCCAATGTAAAGGAAGAAGGCTCCCACACATCTTTCATTTCTGCTTCTTTTACTGTGTGATTGTGGTTTACATCAAAACATCCCACTGGTATTTTGCCTCGGTTAAAGCAGCAATCACACAATAAAATTTAAATTAAGCGTGCACAATCCTTCTTGGAGTGGACTGTGGCTGGAAACGACTGACGCTGCGATGAAAGGATCACAGGGAGAGCCAGGCTTTTTATTAGGATGACTAACATCATTTTTTTTCCTTCAAAATCTTATATAAAATATTAAATTCACACTTTTGGTTCTTTCAGAATGCTTGGAGAGAGATCTCCCAAAAGAAAGTCAATAACTTAAGTACTATGAAAATAAGTTTTCAAGATTTAACCACTTCATTTCATGTTTTTGGTTGAAAGATAGTAGATCTGTACAAATGTACAATTATAAACGACTGAATGCATCCATCAGTCTGTAGATGTACAGTTAAGCTGAGGAATTTAGAGTTATAATGCACCAGAGAGAGAAAATTGCATGTATGCATGTCACTGGCATCGCTGTTTGTTAATTCTCAGTAAACCTGAGAACTGATTTTCTCCAGCTAGGAGTTTTCAAACAAAACACAATGACCTGCTGTTTTTGACTGCCATGAAAATATATTTGCTACAACTCTCCGAGTGTCACTGACCCACTCGGGTGTCTGTGGTGCAGGCGTTTGAGGGTTTGCCGTGGCTTTAAGCTGAAGCAGGCCAGAAAAAAGAAAATGGGCAACGCTTGTATCACAGGTCACGTTGGAGGGGAGGGAAGACAGTCACCAGCGTCATCAGCAGCACGTCCTGCGAGACTCTGAGGCCTGACGACCCAATTTGAAACCTCTTGCTGAAGATCCTCCAGCTTCGTCTACAACAGGGATGCGCTTACCTTAGAGAAGACACACACATAAAGGTATCAGCCTACCTTTTTCTATTTCAGGTTGTTCACTTTTATTTTTTACTCTTAAACAATATTTTATTTATTTCAAATTTAAAGATTTGTTTAGTGCAACATCACACAGCATTTATAATAAAACTGTAGTTGTGTCCCAGATTAATGCACTCATTCACTTCTTCACTAACACTTCCAGAGAAGTTCTACATAGAGGAATATACAGTGAACATTAGACAATGGTGATTTTCTATATAATGTTTAAGGGAACCTGTTGTGTTCATTTCCTGCTACTTGTTTTCTTTTTCTTGGACTATTAAGGTAGCTTTGCATGAATTAGTGTATAACAAATGTATTCAACTAGGGCTGTTCGATGTAACGATATATATCGGATGACGATATAAAAACGTCTATCATTTCATTTTATGCTATCGTTTGTTTCGTGGTGTCGCAAAATAAACTGTTTACGGCAATATTTTTTTCATCGTTTTGACGGTCACTGTAGTGGCTATATTAATTTCTTAAAGTTCTCTCGTTCTCTTATATTTTATATAACCACACTACAGATGGACAAGCGCCTGTTTTTATGCTTTGTGGTTAGCAACAATGACGGCAACAGCATCGCGTGTCTGCTTGTTTATGTTCCACATAAACCTTTCACAATAAAGCTCAAGATCCTGTTGAGACTTTTCAAAATAAACTGAATCACGTGAAAGAGCAGATTATTTACGCATGAGAATTAAAAAAGAGCCGCCAGGTGCTAAAAAATAAACCTTAGACTCAAACGTTAGAACAGGCTGTTTCCCCGCAGCACGCCGTGTAATAAATACTCACAAAGAAAATGGCGGCCTTTACAACTTATGTCTAAAAATGTATCGTTTCATGCATCGGTTAAAACACTCGACTCCAGCTACACGACGCGCAGCTGGAAACACTTCCCGCAAGTCGAGCTGCCCGAGATTCACAGAATTTACAGAAAATGATACATTTGTGTGATTTATATCGTTATCGGTACGATAGAATTCTTATATCGGGATATGAGATTTTGGTCATATCGCACAGCCCTATATTCAACGACCATCCAAAAATGAACAGTACTGGTAATTACCCAAAATTATATTTTATATTTCTGTAATGGTTAATTCACCATTTTGTGCAAATTCATTAATTGATATTTTTTAATGCTACAGTTTAATTTTTGTTATCCATGACTGTTCAAATTTTCTGGTTAACAAAAATTCAGGAAAAATAGTAAAACACGTAAGTACTTTTGATTAGGCTGTCAAATTACAGTTATGTGCTTGCATTCCTAAACCCCAAAAATAGATTTAAATGGTTAAATCTTTAGTTTTAAATAGGTTTTAATAGGAGTAGCCTTAATAACGGTCTGGGTCCATCTTGTATGCAGTATGGAACTGAGACATATCTACACTGTAGATATGTCTCAGTTTAGTGTTTAGTGAAGCTCAAGTTTGACTGCACTGCGAGATATGGTAGTATTCATTGTAGATGGTGACAGCAGTACAAAATACTGCATTGTGTATTATTACATCTGGGACTCCTGATATAAAACTTTAAGTAGAGTTTAGACTAAACATCGGTTTCTTTTAAAGCATCTTTCAAAAAGAAGCCGAAAGCTACTGCAGAGTAGTTGTGTTCATGTTGCATGTTACTAATTGGTTTTTTTCAAATAAATACTCCTTAATTTCTTTATGTTCTGAGATTTCTCACTTTATACTGACTAATCTTGACCGACCAGAGTTTCATTAAACATGCCCCGAGTATCCAGTAGAGTTGTAAGCTTGTTAATTTAGCAAGTAGTATAACTGCTCATAAGAATTCTTCAGGCAAACTATAATCACTTTAATTTTGAGTGTACAGTGTATTTACAAAGTACTACCCATGGCTCTAAAGTATTCGTAGTAAGATTGTGGTGAAAACTATCAGAGAAATATGTACATTACATACAGTGTACGTTGTTTTTTTGTTCAGTGAAACTCTAGTTTGTGTGTTATTTTGGCAGAACTGGATCAACTGCTCCTCTCTCCACTTGTCTCCTCAATTTTTTTAAGTCTCAACGTGTTATGATTAAGTGGATTCTGCTTTACTTCCAACTCCCACACATAAAACAACAACTAAACATTACAAAATTATGTCTCTAATAGACAGTATTTTTTTTAAATGCTATTCATTGCTTGATTTATCATCGCAAGATCCTGTGGCTGTTCGGGCCCGCACGACCAAATATACAAGAAACACACTCACTTATCTCTACAAACACCTCGTTGATGTTAATGGCATTCTTGGCGCTGGTTTCTACAAAGATGGCATGGATGGAGTCGGCATAGTCCTTGGCATCCTTCTCTGGCACTTCCCTGGAGATGCGGGAGATGTGTCAGAAATATTATGTTGCAATTTGTACACAGTTTCTCAGATTTCATGCCTGACCTGATAACCATCAAATGTTTTTCTACAGACGTTATGGAGAAGATTTCGCAATTTCATGGATAAGTCTGAGCCAAAAAAAACCCAACAACAACAACAACATAGGAAAGGATAAATACCATTAGAGCTTATTAAATCCACTAAAAATAACTAGAACTTTGAACCCAGTAATCTACATTTTAAATTCCTATAATGATAAAAGGTCAAGACAAATGAGACTTTAATACACATATGCCTATATTTACAGTACAGAACAGGCGTCATGGCATTTCTGAGGCAAACATTAAATATTATTCTGACAGAAAAGGTCACGATACATCCTCCGCACAATATTTTTCTACTCTACCAAACAAAATTCTCTACTGATGTTAAATGAGGGCTCATAATCACAGTGAATACGAGAAGTGTTCACAGCACAACAGAGGTTTACCTGGCATCTGACAGGTCACATTTGTTCCCAGCGATTGCGACAACTATATTAGGAGGGCCATGTTGGCGGAGCTCTTTCACCCAGTTCTTCAGTGTTTGGAAGGAGTCCTGATGGCACAGGTTAGTAAGGTGTGATACTGAATAAAACAATACTAAGACAAGCACACAGTATCTACTGTGGAAGTTTAAGGAACAGGCTGGAAGTCAAGAGAGTTAAATGAGATAATCAAAACCAGTTATGGTATAGTTATGGATAAATTACTTATTTATTTTCACTTGGGACGGCATGCTGGAGCAGTCACTGTCACCTCACAGGCAGACTGTCTGTGGCCCTTCTGCATGTACTCCCTATGCATACGTGGGTTCTCTGTGGGTACTCTGCCTTAAACAGTTATTCAGAATTGGCAGTAGGTGTGAAGGAGAGTGTAAATGGCTGTCTGTTACGCTATGTTAAGCCTATGATAGACTGGTGACCTCTCCGAGGTGTACCCTGCCTCTCCCCCAACTCCACCCTCTCACTGACCCTGAATCAAATAAGGGGTTAAGACAATGGATGGCTCGATGGATTAGTTTGGGTGGGTTTTTTTCATATTTTTGGTCTTATTGTATTTTATTTAATATGCCAATCTTTTTAATTTAAGCCACTTGTTATAGGTTTGTTGTGTTTAACTCAATTTTAGCTGTGGTAACAGGAATATCCCAAGTCTGGATAAATAAAGTACAACTTATCTTGCCTTAGCGTAAGGACTAGAAAGGGGGGGGGG